AATACTATGCTTTTCATGCCTTAGAGACAATGAAGCACTTCCATGGGAAAGCACAGCTTTGGGAACATGTGGTTTCAATATTATCATGGCATGTAGTGACTGCTGCTGTGTAAAAGGAATTCAGTATTCCATTCTTTGCATGCAGTCATGAGCTTTTCAGATAATGTCAGTGTTTGAAAACTGGAGGCACACTAGATACAGGAAAAAGGTGTTGTCTCAAAACAACCTAATTTGATCCTTCTCTTGAAAGCAAAGCATTGAGCACAGTTATCTTCCTGAGATACTTTTACAAATCCCTAAAAGCAGAATTTGCTCAACTAGTTGAGCTGGCTCTCTCTTGGTTTGTTGGCAAAAACTGAGAAGTTCCTTCCTGATAAAAACAGAAGGCAGACTTGCTGATTGGACGTGGCTTTTGAAAGGATATGACATCAGCCACATCCCTCACTTTGTACAGTGTAGCCTGTCTGATCTCTGTACACCAAGTGAATGAGGAGGCGTTTCATTAAATCGGCAGTGCACACAGGTACTCAAGTTATTTGAAACTGCTGCCGGCACCAAGTTCCAGTCTGCTGAGAAGTCGGCTTGTCTCACACACACGGTGTTTGCTTAATAGATTACTTGCATAACTAAGATTTTCATCAGGGAGGATGGAATTTGAACTCTCAGGAGCAACTGTGAAGTGAAATAACAGAAATTTGACTGCCCAGTGTGCAATGGATGGTGCTGGAGCAAAGGAAAATGCCAGTATATCCCAGGGAGTGGAAGGACAGTCACTTGCAACTTCTCAGTCAAATGCACTGATGAGCGGTAAGTAATACAACTGTATCTATCCAAATGGTCTTCCCGAGAGCCTTCTGGTGGTCATGGAAGGGCTATGGATGATATCTATTCAGAGCTCTGGAGGCATATTCTCCCTGAAGGCTTGTTTACATGCAGTTCTTAGGTAGACATCGGGGTACATGGCAGTAAAACCAAAATTTATTTTTAAACACTTCACAGATATTAGGAATCTGTGTAAAGAAAAATAAGCATTACAATCTGACCTGGACATAACTGCAAAAGAAATTGCACTGTGGGCATGTTTGGTTTGCATTATTGCCAGCTGAATGCTCACTGCTTGCTCAGCGGAACAAGTTCCTCTTTTGTTTCGAAAGATACGCTACAAAAATCTTTGCTGGTGACATTGCCACATTTGTGGCTTAGTCCCAGCAGGCCAGGGTGCGAACCCCTTTCTGTCACCGAGGAGCAGTTCTGCATCCAATTTGCCCCCTTTTTGCTCACCCCTTTGAGTAAGAAGCTCAGTTTGCTCCCAAGCATGTGAACAATCTGATGCAGTGTCACAAGACAATCTCTTTTCACATACAGCTTGGTTAGTGGTGTTTCACTTCAGTCCATGTCCTTGGGGAGTCTAAGCTTTCAGTTTATGGCCAGTGTGCTGGGGGAGGAAAAATGAAGATAACATGCTGTAACATTGCAATATTCTTCTTTTCTTCATGAGAACTCTGGAGATTTTTCCTTTGTTACATAAAGAAAAAAGACTGGTGCAGTTAGGATATGAGAACTACAAGGCCAGCTGCAGCGCAGAAGTGACCTTGGTGTCTTGCTCTCTAGGTTGATTTGGGTTTTGGGGTTTTTTTTTTGTGAGGGAGGAGGGCAGAACAGTGATAACTATCCAGAATGAGTCTGGATTTGAAGTGGATTCTTACTAAATGGCCGACAGGTTTCCAGCATTTGGAAGGAAGGAGGAAAGGCTGTGTTTGTACAGAGCTTGCACAATGAGAACCAGGTACATGACTAGGCTCACAGGCACTATGGTAACATAAAAAAGCCTATAGTGAGGCAAAGATTGGTGCCACTAATTTAAGGATTCAAAATAGTATGTGGACAGGATTTTTTTCAATGAACTTAAGAAATTAGACACCCAACTCACACTGAAAGTCAGTGGGAGTTTGACTCCTAACTTTTAGGTCCCTTTGAATATCTCAGCTTTAGACTACTACAGAAGATTTCAGTTCCTATTTATAATATCTATGGACTAAAGGCAGAGGCACCAACTTTCTGATTTGCCTGAGAGTGTTCAAGCCCCAGACCTGCCTCCTGCTGACCAGCAGGGCGCACTGTGGATAGGAGGTGCTGGGGGGCCAGGGCAGCAGTAAGTGCTCAGCACCTACTATTTTATTTTGGTCAGTGCCTATGGTTAAAGTTCTTGGGTAGATTTCAAAATGTTACAAGCACACTAGGCAGTTCTGGTGAGGGAATTTTTAAAAATATGTTTGCTTCTCCGAATTCGCCACTGGCGTAAGCAGGCTCACCTCCCTTGCAATTACTATTCATGTGCAGAATGGAGTTTAAATATTGATTGAAGCCAACATCTGGAATTAAAAAAACTTAGTGGTTGGTTAGCATTGGCTATCGGCTGTGTTTTACTCAATAATTAGGGTCTATGTTGCAAATCCACAAAATATTAATAATTTACTGCACAGCTGCTACTACATCTACAGTACTGAGTAGAAAACAGGGCAAGTAGAACATAACCTAGTCCTACATTTTCCCTATCAGTACACCTGAACATGTACCGCAAAGAAGCAGAGGCAGCTATCCACATTACTGTAACAACTTGATTGTTTCCTTATTCTTTAGATGATCCCATTTTTCAGTCTGTAAAACTACCCCACATTGTTCATGGATGAATGTGATTTAATAAACAATATTCTACTCAAATTGCTTTTAAAGCAAAATCCATATACTGGTAGTTATGAATAGCACAATAGCCTTCACCAAACAATATAATATGGCGTGGGCTCACTGTTGCTCTATCCCTCTGGGGATAGATCTTTAGGGACACAGTATGTTGCTGTAGTTTCAGTGCAGCCGATGGAACTTTGCCACCTTGCTTGCGAAAAGAAGTGAAATGCTACAAAACTAACATTTTTTTTAATCTAATTTTCTAAAGAAATACCACAAAATAGGTTACACAAAAAGACTTACTTCATGAAGGTCTGTACTCCATGCACTGACTACTACCAGTAAGGATGCATTTAAGGCAGGCCATGCCTCCCACTTGGCCCTTTGACTCCTCTACATTTTACAGATCTGAGTAATCTTTTTTGAAATTTTATTTTATTTTTCAAAGAGAGGGGTGAGTTTTTCTGCCCCTTTGAATTAGTGATCATTGTCTGCTTCCCAGTCTTTCTTTCCTCTACAGTGCTGGTTTCATTGTGCCTTCTTCTGAGACACCATAGGAGATAAAAGAAATGTTGGGCTCTATGAAATCACTGGCCTACTAGTTTGTCCATCTGTGATGATAACCCTTCTTATAAAGGCTTCATTCCACCTTCAGAAGTTAGTCCAGACCTGTCTGTCAACATGCTGTAGCAGGTACCAGTAAAGGTATTTCATTCTGGCCTAAACCTGCTCTGAACTCTTCACTTGGGATAACAATCAAGGTGCCATTAGAATTGCTCCATCTTTCTTAGCCCCAGGATGACAATTCCTTTAGAACAAATACTGTTGAATTCTTATCCCACCGAAGTTACAGAGGCTTGACTACACACACCAAATTCCTTTCAATTTACTTTATTTGAATAATATAATAAGCCTTGCAGATTGGAATACTGTTGTCAGATGTGTGCTACTGTTGTCAGTTGATAAACTTTCCAGAGGCTTTCAGTGTGGGAAAGTGTGAAATGCATTAAAATTTGCCTAATTTTTGTACCTTTAAAAAACTTATTATTTTAGACAGAACAAAAGCAAAATTAACCAATGCCAGTAGCACCATCCCTAAAAGATTACTCTGCATGATTTACCTTCCATAAAACTTTCTACATCACAAACATTACACTAGTATGGGTGTGTCTAGACTACAAGGTTTTTTCGAAAAAAGTGGCCTTTTTCGAAAAAAACTGTACCTGCATCTAAACTACCGCCATATTCTGTCGACAGTAAATCGAAAGAACGCGGCGGTTTTGTTGACGGCAGTAAACCTCATTCTACAAGGAGTGACGCCTTTTTTCAAAAGTCATCTTTCAAAAAAAGCTGCTATTGCATGAAAACAGGGCTTTTTTTTGAGAGAGAGAGAGTGTCTAGACTCTCTTTCGAAAAAGCCAGCCACTTTTTCAAAAAATCTAGTTGTCTAGATACTCTTTTTCGAAGGAGGCTTTTTTGAAGGATACTTTCAAAAAAGCCTCTTTTGAAGGAGGCTTGTAGTCTAGACATAGCCTTCATGTCCAAACTTCTTTCAATCTCTTGTCTATGTCTTGTGTCTATGAAATATCTTTCAGTAGTTATAATTGGAAAGAAAAGAGGAGTAATCAGGGGGAGGGGTTCCCAGCTACCTAAATCAGTGGAGATAGCTAACTGGCTTAAAGGTAGTGACTACTAGCATAGTATTTTACGTGTTAGATCCATAACTCTCAAACATATTTGTTTTCTCTCTTGGTCCATTAGAGCGAAGCCCTGGTCTACATCAGGGAGTTATTTTGAAATAATCCCTCCTTAGGTCAAATTTATAAGCAGAGCATCCACACTACCAAGACCATGATTTCAAAATAATAATGGGCTAGTTATTTCGAAATCTGTACTCCTGATTTCCTCAGGGAATAACGCTAATTTTGAAATTGTTATTTCAAAATAGCGTTAGTGTGGCTGGGCTGGGGCTGCTAATTCAAAATAATTGGCCTCCAGAGGCCTCTCTCAGGTACACTTCTGATCACTAGGCATATCCACTGCTCCCCTCCTCCTGCAGAGCATAAAACTCCTGGCAGCAGGAGAAGGGCTTCTTGCACGAGGCCAGCTTGGGAATCCCATTTGAGACAGCAGCCAGCAAGGCAGCCATGAGTGACTCTTAATGCCCCAGCAGACCCTCCCATGGCTGCCAGCACTCCTGCTGCTCCCTCAGCTGCCACTGGCCAGGGACACAAGAGAAAGCTCAGGCCTGGACTGGTGCGGAGATCCTGGACCTCATTCTGAGGGGAAGAGACCAACCTTCAGAATTATCGCACCACAAAGTGGAATGCTGACATCTATGGCCAGATTGCCACCAGCCGGGCCAAGAAAGGGCACATCTGGACACAGAACCAGTGCTGGATGAAAATCAAAGAGCTCCAGCAGGCCTACTGCAAGGCTAGGAAGCAGAATGGATGCTCCAGGAAAGCACCATACAGCTGCTGCTAGTATGACCAGCTGGATGCCATCCTGGGAGGGAGGGGCCGTCACCTCCCCCATCGTTGTTGTGGAGTCTGGCCAGGACATGCCCGGTGTCAGCTTCTAGGAGGGTAGAGTGGCAGGCGATGATGCCAAGGTGGAGGAGGAGGCCAGCCAGGCAACCATGCCCACCAGCCAGGACCTGCTCCTTACTCTAGAGCCAGTACCCAATTCCCAGGATGTCTCCCACATTTTGGATGATCCCAGGGAAGGCACTGCAGGTGAATTCTATAACTTTCCATAGCTACACAAAGGGGCAGGCAGCAGACTGTGGGGGGCTGTGTGCTCCTTTATTGGCCTACTCAGCCTGGGGGAGGGCATCACACGACAGCCTGTGCACTTGAGTGCAATTGGATCACTAGTCCAGAGCCTTTAGCTCCATGACATTTTCACACAGGAACCCCTCGCCCCTTCACACAAGGTTCCTGGAGAGGCCTGTCTTACTCCGGCCTCCGTGGTGGGACACCTTCCCACAACAAGCCACCACTAAGGAGTGTGGGGTCAAAGACACAGCAGCGCTGCACATATCACAAAGTCATGCCCACACTCAGGCAGCATCTGCTCCCAATCAAACACAATGATGTGGAGGAGACCAATTTCATGCA